GCGCGTAGCACGGGCAGAGTAAGGGCTTACAGCAGGCTGTCGCCACCCTTCAATATCTCCAGCGGTGTGAGACAAGGATGCCCGCTGTCACCTTTCCTATTCAACTTCGCTATTGACGAAGTTATGGAGATTGCATTTACAGGACATGACTTGGAAGGTGTGGAGCTACTCCCAGGAGAACGACTCCTTGACTTAGAGTATGCAGACGGCATTGCCCTCATCTGTGACAGCTCCCAGACGTGTCAAGCCGCGCTGGACAGATTAGCACTGGCTGTCAGTCGCTTCGGGCTTTGCTTTGCACCACCGAAGTGCAAAGCGTTCCTCCAGGATTGGCAGGGTTCGCACCCTGTGCTGACCCTTGGTGGGGATCAGCTAGAAGTCGTTCAGAAATTCAATTACCTGGGAAGTTGTATCAGCGCCCTTGGGATCGAAGACGAGATCACGAACCGCATAGCGTAAGCTCGAATTGCTTTTGCTAACCATTGCCACCTATGGCGACGGCGCGACATTACTCTCGCCCTGAAGGGTAGAGTGTACAATGCAGCGGTACGTTCGACCTTACTGTACGGTTGTGAAACCTGGCCCCTAAGATCGGCGGACATGAAGAGGCTACTTACCTTCGACCATCGGTGCCTTCGCAGTTTGGCTCACATCTGGTGGGAACACCGCGTGAGTAACGAGCGTGTTCGACGCCTTGTTTACGGCATAGGAAAAGGGAATGAACCGCTCAGCACCGTCATTTCACTCACCAGGCTCCGATGGCTCGGCCACGTGTTGCGCATGCCAGCCCACCGACTCCCTCTACGTGCTTTGTTTGCTCACCGGGGATGTGGGTGGAAAAAGAGGAGAGGTGGCCAAGCGATGACTTGGTCCAGAGGAATGAAGGCCCTCACTTCGGAGCTGGCCTCAGTTGGAGCTTCACGGCTCCCTGGTTGGGGTCCAAAAGACGGTGAACACGTTTGGCTGGATACACTTGTTGATATGGCAAGCAGCCGACCTCAGTGGCGTTCCAGCTGTGAGTTTCTTTGTCCCTCCCCATCCCTTTAGCCTCCCCCTCCACCTACGATCTTATCTCATTAAACATAATAATTTTTCTTTTTGCCTAGTAACCGGCTGGTAGCTTACCGGAACGATGCGTATCCGTTGCTGGTAGTTCAGCTGGCATTCAACTGTCGTATTTATTTTTCCTTTATGTATTGTATGTATGTATGTATGTATGTATTTCCTTTCTTTCTCATATAAATGTCTAGTGGGCCATGAGCTAGGTCCTTTGGGGCCACTACAGAAGCGACGATGGGTCCTGCAGAGAATTACGACGAGCCGGCGCAGCGTTTGTAGGCACGCTGAATTCGATTTACTAACCGCGTGCTTGCATGCTAAGTCTCTTTATTTCAGGTGGTGGGTTTACAGTTTTTACCTTAATGCTTTTCTTTCTTATATAAATATCTCCATGTACTCTATTCCATTAACTTGCACATATCGCTTTAGCCAGTTGTATTCGATTTCCATAAGATTTTTGTGTTCGTGGCATACCGTGAACTATACTTCCTGACTTCGTGCACTTAGCTGGGATGTGTTTGTAAACAACTTATTACGTATGCTATTTAATTAAGGTTTATGTCACCGTTTCCTTACGCATTAATCCAGTTTTTCTCTTTTTCTTTCTCTCTCTCTCAAGTGATTGGCTGTTGTTTGATATCCCCGGTGTGGCTGCGCTTGATGTGCATGCTGACAAGGTGCCTACCTGTCTATTACCCACTACCTCGTCCATACTGGCTCCAGGAGACAGTTGGTCGTTGCTGGAGGGGACGGGGTGCACGGTTCTTGTGGCCGTGTTAGGCTCGAAGAGTGGTTCCATGCACTCAGTATGGAGCGGACTACGGTCCAGCCACCGCCTTGTGTGCGGTTGATTCCCCAAATACAGCGTGCTTGTGTTTGCCTGTGAAGGAGTGTGGGCCGGCTCCGTTGATGAAACGTGGTTCCCATCCACATGCCTCCCGGTCTTATTCCTTCGGGTTTACACTGGATATGGGGTGTGTGGTTGGAGCTGTGGGTGGTGCAGCGCAAGCCATCCATGGTCCCTCTGTAGGCGCAGGCGTCCTGTGGCTTGCCACAGTGACAGGCAAATCCGAAACCGGATGCCGCCAACCATGTGTGCCCCATGCTGAGGCTGATGTTGCATTGTTGATGCTTCTTCACCGCAGTTGGGCTAAACCAACTTACACTTAAACTAGGTCTTTTTAAGCTGGCTAAATTTCATTCCGCTTTATTTGGTTTGTTCTGTCTCCCTGAATAATGTTCTATTAACTGGCCACGTTGTATTCACTAATGGTGCTTATCTTCGGTAATTTTGTTGCGTTTTGTAGCATTTTTAAGTAACTTTTGGACATTTCTTACTTATCACGGATTTGTTGTTAGCGCAGTTACTTCATATGGTAAATTAGCGAAGAGTTATGCCACCGTATCTGTATGCATGGTTGGATTTATTTTATTTCAGCTTGTCGTTTAAAGTGAATGGCTGTTGTTTGATATCCCCGGTGTGGTTGCGCATGATGTGTATGTTGACAAGGTGCCTACCTGTCTATTACCCACTACATCGTTCATACTGGCTCCAGGAGACAGTTGGTCGTTGCTGGAGGGGACGGGGTGCACGGTTCTTGTGGCCGTGCTAGGCTCAAAGAGCGGTTCCATGCACTCAGTGTGGAGCGGACTACGGTCCAGTCACCGCCTTGTGTGCGCTTGATTCCTCAAATACAGCGTGCTTGTGTTTGCCTGTGAAGGAGTGTGGGCCGACTCCGTTGATGAAACGTGGTTCCCATCCGCATGCCTCCCGGTCTTATTCCTTCGGGTTTACACTGGATATGGGGTATGTGGTTGGAGCTGTGGGTGGTGCAGCGCAAGCCATCCATGGTCCCTCTGTAGGCGCAGGCGTCCTGTGGCTTGCCACAGTGACAGGCAAATCCGAAACCGGATGCCGCCAACCATGTATTTCCTTTATGTATTGCGGTACAATAGCGGAGGTGTTTTACCATCTCTAGCTGACATGTATAATGATGATGATGATGATGTTGTCATATGGGACGATGTTTCTAGAACCCCAAAGTATGCAACCGTTCTTGAGGCTTGATTCATCTCTTCGATTGTGAATTGCTCTTAGACCCTCGTCTACGTTATCCGGTCAATCAGTTAGGTTATAATCACCCATCCTCGACAGTACAGCGTCACTCCTTGTTTCCTACTTTAGCTGCGTTTATGTCGGCGGAAAATCATTCAACTAAGATTTTACTTGTGCCACTTATCTGAAGTCTGGCGTGTCGCTCGGAACATCACATAACGGAAGTCGACTGAGAAATCTAGCACAATGATACTTCTTCCCTGGAAGATATTTCAGTTGATACAGATAGCCAGCGAGTAATAGAGCCCAGCAAAGCATCCGGGCCATGTCATTTTCGAGTATTGCTCTTTATTCCTTCAGAATTCCTAATAATGACTTGTGGTCTGTGTGTACTTCACATCCCTACCCGAGTACGTAGTGGTGAAAACGTATAACCCTAAATACGACAGCCAGAGCCACCGTGTTAATCTGGCGTACTTTAGCTCTGCCTTGCGATAGAGTCCGAGTGGTAAACGCATGTTTTGTTTACGCTCTCCTCATGTTGCAATAGGGCGGCTGCCTGTCCGTACGGTGATGCATCGCATGTAAGCGTTATGTACTTTTCGGTGTCTAAGTTGGCCAAAACCAGTGGACTAGCCAATGCAGGTTTACCTTGACGAAAGCCAATTCTTCCGTCTCAGATTACACCTACTAAGAGCCCATGCATAACAAAGCAACGTGCATAACATTGTGGCTGATGGCGGAAAAAGCTTTGGTGATTTTACACCCTAACCCCAAGAATAACCACAAATCTTTTTGGTTGTTTGGTTGCGGTGTCTCAAGAATAAGCCGAATTTTCTTTTTCAATCGTCTTCGGTCCCATTGCACGGATGTGAAAAAGCACTAAATCAACGTGGGTTGCGAAGTATCCGTACGCATTTTGCACATTTCAGCTTTAATCAAAGTCAAATAATATAGTCGTTTTTCGGTTTGTTGGATAAAGTGAGATTTCAAGGGACGGCATCGGGTAAACGTCGGAGGCTGTCTGCTCCCCAACTACACTTGACTATTTCGTAGTTTGTCAATCATCTAAACGTAGCAGATTTGCGGGCAGGAACCTAGACATTTCTGTGGGTTCCACTAATTTGGGTAATGATTCCCTGCTTCATAGATCGTCTCGGTGATTTAGCTGACTGAGATTCACTCCAACTGGGTTTGCTTGGCACAAACCCCGAGTGCTTCAAATGATGAACCCAAAAGGAGTCATTAATCGTTGTGGCAAATGTTGCAAGTGACCGTGTGGCGCAGAGCTAAAGGTTTTGGTTGGTAATCCTGTGACCCGGGCTCCAATAACAGTTCTGCTGCCTCTATTGAAGGATACCAACTAATACGTGACCTGTCCGTGAGGACAGTGTTGCAAGCGGGTTCCAGCCAGCATTCGACTTGCTATGATATCAAATGGTCGGAAAGAGGAAGCCAGTGAATCGGGTGGGGAAAATGGATACCATGAGGTCACAAGGGGGGACAAAGGTAATGCAACTCAGATTTCTTGAATGTCAATCGTTCAGCTCAAAGGAAGGCAATTGCCAGCACAAGTGTCCATAAAGTATGCTGCATTGTGGGCTTACACCAAGCATCAAACATTTTGTTCGAAAAGGTTGAATCAAAACATTTTGTGAAGGCCACAGACCAGTATCCGCAGAGTATGTATGGTTGGTTGAGTAAATAGAAATTGGGTGTTGGCCGCCCGAAAACACTGGTTGAGTAGTTGATAACATCGAACTGTCTGGCTTTCGGGGCTTCCTTCTCTGTGGTTGAGTATGCACAGTTTCTTAGGGTCAATCGAACGAACTTGTGCATCATCTTTTACCTACAGCTAAGCTTTAAAAGTTATTTTTATGTACAGATTACGAAAAGTGGCGAAGGGAATTGCGAAGATGTTTCAAAGCGGAACTGGACCGTCGAGTTCAAGAGGCTGTTGAAATTCCTCCACGGGAAAAGCTAGCCCAACTTCTCTTGAACGAACGCTTCCGAAGGGCTTTACAACGTAATGCGGAGAAGCAAAAGTTACGAGAAATAATCACAAAAATGAATGAAATCGCCGGAGACTTCAACGCTTTAGGACTGAACGACCCTTCTTTCCAACCAAACTTTCGTAACACGGTCGATAGAAGAATACACCCGGAAACTCATCGGCTACAGAAACGTTATCTGAGCAGGACAACACTGTGCGGAAACGATGGACAAACTTTCAACTTGGTGCATTCTCTTCGGCCACAGGTTTCGCCGCTGTTGTCCAGGACCTGTGTTGAAGGAACACGCCCATTTCCTGAATTAAAAAATTTACAATGTCGTCAGGAAGGTGGTATTTGCGAAAATGGAACCTTGGTAAGTCTGAGACCATGACTAACATTAACAGATGATGCTGTTTTATTTCATCCTGATTGTGTTGCCCAGCAGGGAGATGGAGCAAGATAATTGAGTAACGCTTCGGGCGTTCATTTTTACCACATGGCATTAGAACATACATATTTCCTTCTCCAAGATGTTAGTACCGTAATTACCATGATACCGTGGTTCATCTTGTTCATCAGCGCGAGTTCGCCTACTCCATCATGCACGCTGATATTGACGTATGTATTAACTCATAGCCGTAGATACGCACTAGAAAAACAGCAATAAGTGGGACTTGTGATTTTCGTTTTCTGGTCACATGTAAACTAGCTACGCTGAAGTCTCATATCATAACAAGTATTTCTCTTACGGTCATTGAACCCGAACCTGATCGCATTCCAGCAAGAATCACTTTCAGGTTCGTGGTTTTACCCACTAATCAATCGACACGTTAATCTCGAAGAAATCCTCAGGTTAGAGAAGTCGATCAGACAGCACGTATACGCTGACACTCATTGTGGTGGTAGCTGGGAGTTTGGGTTAGCTGAACCGTCACGCAAACCTTGTTGACCTGAATGCGTGGGTCCGACGGACGACGCTGGATGGGTGCAGTGTAGCATGAACCGCTTTCAAGGTGGTCCCAGAGGACCAACAGTGAATATGGATCGATGAATTACAGCGACGGCATAGGTAGGTAAACGAAAACTAAGCATCGCATGCCGTTTGTCGGGTCACCAAAAATTTATCTGAAGGGAGAGTTTTCCGTCATAATTGCAAATAAGAAAATCAGAAGACAAAGACTGTGGACTGGCCTAGTCATTTTTCGTTGTCAGCCAAGTACATCCAGCGAATGACAGACGCAGAAATGACAAGGTCACATGTGATCGATTAGTGGCCTAGTGGTGGTCGATTAGCCTGCACTACCCTCTGTACCTGCCGTTCGCTGCATTTACGTGATTGGCAGAACTGTAAAAATGCATACCTCATCCCAGAGGCGCCAGCTTCTCTATTTTGATATTTACCTAAAAGCTGTCACAATTACACCGGCTCATGATTAAGTCTTTGAACACTGCTCTGACTTTGCCCTTATTATACAGGGGTTACACAACACTCGTTCTTTTGACCTCCCGTTCAATTGAGTTTCTCTGTTACAGCGAAACTTTCTTTTCTAACCGGCTTTACAACAAGGATTCATTGGATCACTTGCTTCAGGTGAAATCAGTCGTAGTCACAGGGTCACTACTAAGGGATGTGGGGTTGTCAGTTTCTTAGTTCGTATATTTTTTGTTAGCAATCAATCCAACTTTTTCTGTATAATCATTTTAAATAGAGGAAAATTAATCGAACACACATTCGACCTCACGCCTATGTTGATGTTCGCTGTTGTATGATACTGCTCTAAATGTATACGTTATGCTCCGGTTTTTCTACCGGTCTGTTATGGAACATAGTCTTGCTTTTCGGCTTTTCCGCTTCGCCTTTCTATCTTCATGCATACGTGATTTTCGATATAAACCATTGAGCTTTGCTCGTGGCAGCTACCAAGTGAGTCTTCCACATGTCCGGCAAAGCACTAGAAGGCCGTTTCGATTTGTTGGGTCTCGTCAGTAATGCACGTCCATCGGATCCGTCAGGATACGCACTTATGACCACCAGATGCTTGAACCACCAGTCAACAGCTTATGTAGCACGACCATGGTGGACTGCAGTGGAACGTCATGACTTACAAGCTAACTGCGATATATAACGTCGGATCTTCTAATGCCACCAAAATTACAAACGTTGTGGAGAACAGATATTGCCCAAACGTCATGAATTTTGCTGCGAACAACCGTAAGTTATTCTTGTACTGTGTCGGCCGGATGCGTCAGAAGCATTACAAATTGAGTTTTGCCAGTAAGTTTTCATCTGAACTTTCGCTTTGCTAGTAGGACCTTTTCGTCTCACTGTCCACTACAGTGTGAATTTAGGATAAACCTAAACTGATTCCAACTTGCAGAGAACTTGGAAACATTATTCAGCCTGAAGCTTAGTAGGTACAACGGCTGAAAAAATATGCCGTTCCCGAGGGAGTTGTGTACAAATGGTACAGATGCATAATCAAGTGATACATATGATTACATGGTGAGAGTCACTGAACAGACAGCTGCACAAAATTGGTTGTTTGAATCGGTTACAATGGTATGCGCAATTGCTTATTTTGTGGTGGAGCGTACAGAACATGACACCAAGAGGAAGGTCGAATGTATCGAAGCAGGTAACCACTGGGTTTCCAATTCGATGTAACACTTGACAGCTTGTGTTCGATTCTCCCCACCTGGTCACTCCCTGTTATTACCACGTAATTGGTACAAGCTGCCGCACACAATAGCAGATACGCTATCAGGATGTGCTGAACACAGAAGGTGCAAGCGTTTTGTCGGAACTAGCACAAAACCTGCTAGGAGAAAATTTCCGTAGCAAATAAAAACAAACAGCGAATTTTGGGTTGTCGGATTGTCGGATTTTCTGGAAACGAGATTAGGAAAGATACTTACGCTCCCAGACTAAGAAAAATTCGACTGGACGAAAGTAGGATACCATTTTGCCGGAACTCAAGTTATAGAAAGTGGAATAGTGAAAAGGGTAGAGCACATGGGCTAGATTGCGAGAACGACGCACAGCACCAAAGAAGTTATCGGCAGCTTAAAATTAGAACACCAGGTGCGTGCCATTTTGTTGAATTAAAAAGAGGAATGCTGTGGATGTAGCCGTTTAAATCAGAAGAAGCATTTCCAAGAATGGTGTTACCGCTTGTGCAGAAAAGTAACGCGTTTACAGAACTTGCAGGAATTTAAAAATTAATCAGGGGCAATTAGGAAAATGTGGCAAGTTGGATGTACTTTTTCCGTCCGGTGGATGTTACAACAGGGCAACTACAAATCAACTTGGCAAACCCCTTTTCCTAAGGTTGCGCAAGTGACAACATCTAGCAGATAGTTTAGGCGACTGCAGATGCGTTTGGCTTGAGTTGCCTTTCACTCACCGGTGTGGAATTCGACATACACACATGGAAGCTGACGATGTGTAGAAGGCCGGTTCTCAAGAGGTGACACTGGCATGAAAGCCGACCAATCCATTCTTGTTGATTTTCACTACTTACAAAGTGTATCACCAGAAGAAATATTCCAATCTATCAGCCTGGTCTCACGCATAGCTTGATTCTGAGAAAAAAGGGAGCAAAACTCAAGGTACTATGAATCGAAGGAGACAGATTCTATTTACTGCGGTCGCTATCTATATCCGCCACCTTAACTCGCAGTTGTGCGTACAAAAACCGATTGTACGTCGTTCACTTTTACCGTGGTCTACAACTTCCTTTGGTTTGTGTCCAAATTAATCTTCGTTTGTGAAAGTGATTTGCCACTGTACATAATCTACCACCCTCAGTGACCGCGTGGTCTATTTATTCTTTCCAGTTGAAAGCAAATAGCCCTATCACGCACATTTAGAACACAGTTGTCCTTATGTAAAGTTTGAGTCTGATGAGAATTACCGAAAAGAAATCTTTACTCAGAATCTGCCTTCCTTGATTCATTCTATTAAATGCGCATTACTGGATGGCTGAGGATTAACATCCCCATGATTCAATCAAAACTCGATGTAGCGGAAAGCGCAAAAGTGGTTCTACAACAGTAGTTTTGAATGTATATAAATAACTTACGACTAAATTTGTAGACATGGCCTCCGGGTTGCTCAACAGTGAGTCGAAACAACCCCAGTAGTCTGTATTCCCGATCAGCTCTGAACTGGCGGCAGCGGTAAGACGAACAGCAACGGTCAGCACGCAAATGGTGACATGCGTGGTAATGATCCATTAGGGCGGTACTTCAGTTAAGTTCAGTGATGTGAAGAAACAAATGTCACAAGCTTGTTTCATAATCCGCATGCATGAGCACAAAGGGCATAACGAAGGCAAGACAAAACATATACATATGCTGTGGATCGGATCAGAAGAAAACGTTTACCAAAGTTCCTCGAGGTGGCCAGCTGCTGCATTGTGATGACAAGCTGCTGCCCCCAGGCCTAGCGATCCTCTCGTAGTCGATTCTTGAGCTCGGTGTTGGTAGCTCTGCGTAGTGAATGATACCCAAAGCCAGCGAAAATTGCTCGACGAGTTTCGAAAAGCTGGAGAGACTGTGCGATGATTCCGTGATTAACAGGAGTAATAGAGAAAGCACACACTAGAGTTTCAGAGTTATGCATGGCCCTCAGATATGTGCCCATTGCACCCAAGGTAGTCTTGAGCCTTGACGCCAAGGCATCTTGAAAGACGCTTGTAACATGTGGGGCAGTAGGCTTAGCCGCATCAAGCCATTTCCGGTGACGGTGTTAGGAGTCACCAACACATAGAGCGACCTTAACACACATGAGTGCGTGATCCGAAGCGAGGTAGGTGCTCCAGATTGATTTGATCCCCATTGGAGATAACCGTTGGTGAAGTGGTCAATTTATGTCCACGGCTGGTCAGAGAATGACGGTCTCCAGATGGTGCGTTGGTGTTTGGATCCTCAAAAGTTGATACTTGAGAGAAATAGCCCATCATCCGTAAATAGCTGAAGTGGGTGAACATTGTTGTCCATCCTACCAGTATTATAACCACGTTGGTCACCTAGTTTGCTTTCGTCAACTGAAAGTCTGCCGACCTGTGCATTTTGGTTTCAGTTAAGCACCACAATGTCTGTGCGGCGTTACTATTGGAGAATATCGGCGACTTGACAAACACTTTGATCTTTACTCGAGTCAGGGCTGCAGTCTGGAAGCATACGCAACTACCACGAACAAACAACGTCGTTTCATACCGGATGGCCACACTCTAACTCGGCTCTCGCTTCACCCTATGTGGCCATTCTTATTCTGCCCATACAATATTATGAGTGCGCTCGTTCGAACCAGTTCAGCAACATCTACTTATGCTTCCCACCGCTTGGATCTAACTTGTGTGGATCATATTT